GTTCCCTGGACCAGAGGCAAAGCTGACTGATAGGTAGGTACCTATGCCCCTCTGGGTTTCTAAATCAGTTGCTAGCTTCTGGTGGAAGGGATTCTTGGGCCAGCAGAGAGACAAGAAGGAAGAAGGGGCAGTGTGGACAGCAGCTGGCTAAACCAGGAGGCAGAGAGCGAGCGTCTTCACCACATGCAGGGAAGTCCTGAATTACCCCTTGGGTAATCAGCCAGCAACAATTATCCTCAACTTGCCAAAGCTCCTCCTGAGCTGTTCAGGCAGCTGGCCCTCTGGCAGGGTCACCACTTAGGAGCTGATCTGAAGGGACCCCAAGGCACGTAGCATCTCAGCAGCAGGGCTCCTCCCACAGGTTTGTTAGCCAAAGCTGGGGCTTGTGTCAGTGGCTTTACCTCACTTCTGCTAGAACTGCTCTCCCCAGTCTGGACCAGAATTCTGGGGCTGTAAGCAGCATTTCCACCCAAAGTAGGGAAGAACTTTTCTACCTATCTGAGCCCCCTAGGGAGAGAGCAAGCTGTCCCTGAAGTGGGTAGCCAGAGGCTACAGGTGCCAGGACAGCCATCAGGACCTTTTTCTTAGGTTGACAGAACTCTAGGGATCACCTACCACATTCCCAGGGAGGCAGAATGTGGCCGGATTAAGGGCAGGACCGCCACACGACAACCCCTTGCTACTGTCCCCACAGACCCATGAATTTCTGGTCTGTCTGCTTCTATCTGCTCTCTAGAGCAGAAGCTTCATGAGGACAGGGACCTGGTACTTATCCCCAGCACCTGGCACCCAGGCAGTCTTGATTCAACACAACCAAACTGAGTGACAGGAGCCCACGTTTGCAAATTGAAGTGCTCTGTAACCTTCTGCTGATGGCCCTGCCCCCTTGGGGGCGGGTCCCTAGGGCAGCCCCAGGTGGTCCTGCCACTTAGTTCCCTCCCTCTGATGATGAGGTGGCCCTCCTTCCCGAGGCCAGCTGCAGTCCCTGAAGTTTGCTCTTCTGTCCTTCCTGTCTTTTTAAGGCATGGACGGACAGCTGCAAGGATCTGCGAGTCCCCTTCCCCTTTCCCCTCTGGCTTGGGGAGGCCCCTGGGTATCCAGGGATGACCTCAGTACCAGCTGCTTCCAGAAGCAGGAAGCAGACTTGTTTACAGGTTCATAAGTTTCATTAGCAAGTTGAGAGGAAGCTCCCAGATGCCTGGAAGATCTGGCTTTGCAGCCAAAATCAGGCTTGCGACTGTAGCTGCCTGCAACTGGGCTCCGAGCAGAGCTGGCAGGCAGCAGGCCATCACGCCTGTTGGCTTTGAATGCCTTCCTCCATAGTACCCTAATATAAGGACAAGCTGAAAGCAGCACTGCTCTGGGTGGAGAGATGCTGGAATAACCCCGACACATTTCCCTGAAACCATAAAATACAGTTTGAAACTGAATTGTAGCCCAATCTTCCATGTGAAGATGGGAAACTGAAGCTCAGAGCAGAAGAAGTAATTTGCCTAAGATGACCCAAGGTCAGAGCTAGGAGTCACTCCCAGGTGTACTGACCCCGTGCCTGGGTTCCCACCACTTCCTACTTGGGTTTGCAAGCGAGGTGGGAGCAGGTAGCAGATGTGGCTGTCAGACCCCCAAGCCAGTCAGGAATCCGGGTAGAGTACATGGCTGGCTGAGCAGCTGGGAGAGGCCAGTGGTTGGAAGGCATTGGCTGAGGCTGGTGCTTGGGCAGGTAGAGAGACAGACAGACATAAGATGAGGGAAGACAGGCAGACAGGCAGGCAACAGCCCAAGTTGAACACCTGCTCTGGGAGGCGGAGGTGGAGGGAATGGGTGCCCTCTAGATTTCAGCACAAACTTGGATGCAATTAACTGGGTTTGTTTAGTCCCCAGTGGAGGCTGTATGCTCACGATTACCTTTAGGGAAAAAGATGATATGTTTTCTTCGGAGTCGCTTAGCTTGAAGGGAGGGAGAGCTTTCACCTCCAAGCCTTTCTGTTAATAAAATAGCTCTTATTTTAATAAACATCCAAGCCCTCCAGCAGACAGTTCATGGGAAAGAAATACAGAAGATCAATAAACATGAAAAACTGCTTAGGTTTATCCATAATTAAAGCAATATAAATTAAAGCAACAATGAGATGGATACCATTTCTCACCCATCATGATGATGCCTTTTAGAACGTTTCATCATAGCTTCCACTGATAAAGCTGTGAAGAAACCAGCACTTTCTTCCCCTTGATGGGGTCCCATTTGGTGCAGCCTCTTCAGAGGGGACACTGTCAGCACTGGTGAAAACTGCCAGCACACATACCCTAGAATCCCACGATTCCCCTTCTAGGCACTTGCTCTACAAAAACATTTACACTTGTGTGCAAAGAGGCATGCCGAAGACTCCTCGCTGCTATGTTGTTTATGAAAGCAAAGGCTCTAGACAGCCTGAATGTCCACGAGCATGCCAATAAGCAGTGCTGCAGCACAAATGCTGTGCTGCGTTCAAAAGCCAGGAGGTGGATTTGCCCTGACGTGGGAGAGCTCCGAGGCACGCTGTTCACTTAAAACAAGTAAGTTGCAGAACAGAACGTGCCTCAAATGTATGACCTCATTTGTGTAAAACACTACGAACACGTACACACAGCTAAGCCAGATGTTCCCTGCTCCCCTCCACCCAGCTCCCAGAGTCATTTGTGTAACCTTTGTCTTGGGAAGACCTCCGGGCTCCCTGGCCCTCTTGTCTAGGCCTCTGCAGCCCCGCACCCACATTTGGCCGGGGGCCATCCTCCTGCCTCCCATAAGCCTTGGAAGATCTCTCTGTACCCCAGGTGCCCTAGTCCTTCGGGCCCCCGAGTTTGTCACACTAGACAGTGGGGGATTTTTGGTGTTCAAAGTGAGAGTTTGGGGTGATTTCAGAAAGAAATTATGCTGTTGGAGAGAAAACGTTAGCATGCTAGAGAGACATGTCAAGGGACAATTTCAAAGTCACACCGAAAATTCAGTCTCCCACGGCCCAGCCTTCCTTGGTGCCCAATCCAAGAGAGGCAGACGTACTGAAGTGGTGAATGTCAGGGTTTCTGGGTGGCTTTAGGGACCCAGGGATTGGGAAGGAAGTCTCTCCACCCTCTCTGCTTGGCTTTAGGTGGTAGGGTCCTTTGCCACCAGGGGGCAGTGCTTCAGCATGCACTTGGACTCAGTGTCCTTGTGCCCAGGAAGCCCCAACTGGTCAAGGCCAGTTGGCAGTCAGAGGGGAATTTGATCTGAGGTCAATCGTGCAAGGTCCTGCCCGGGCCCATACCCACAAAGCTCTGCGGACTTGACTGCTCTCACGTTCAGCCACCCCATAGGGAGGGGATCATTAGCTCTATCATCCAGTGAGGAGACTGAAGCCCAAAGAAAGGAAAGACTTGCTCAAGGTCAAATCTTGAGACCATGAGGAGGATGGGCAGGGTATAGGGTTGTCAGGAAAAATACAGGGTAACCACTTAAATGCGAGTGTTAGATAAACCATGATTAATTGTTCAGTATATGTATGTCCCAAATGTTGCATAGAGCATAAATATACTAAAAAATTATTTGTTGTTCATTTGAAATACAACTTCAATCTGGCAACCCCGGCAGGGCAGAAACCCATGGTTCCTGCTTCCCAGGCTCCTGAGTCCGACAAAGCCCACTTCTCTGCTCCTAAGGTGGCCCTCCAGAAAGCTCAAATATCATTGCAGCTGCTCCACTGGAGTTTGAAAGGGCTTCCCCCCGGGCCCTCAAGAATACAGGCAGGGACTATGTCAGCTCTCCTCCGGAGAGCTTATTCCCAGTGCTGGACATGTGGGGCCAGGGACGGGGTCAGGCAGCTCAGATCGTACCATCATCTCTAAGCGAGCCAAACCCTCTCTTTCCTCTCCCTTGCCCTTTCCTTTCTCCCTTCCTCTTCCCCTCCCTCTTCCTCCTCTTCCTCCCACCTGGCCCCAGCTATGCTCTGGTTTCTTTTACAAATAGCCTCCTGTCTCCCCGGGGGCTCTGGGACTGTTCCCAAGAGCTCAGGGTTCACCTTCAGTGATTGTATCAGCTAGGCTTCTCCGGAGAAATGGAACCGATAGTATGTATGTGTGGGTCTGTATATGCATATGCTATATGTCTGTGTAGATAGACATTTATTTTTAAAAATTGGCTCAAGCCATTGTGGGGCTAGTGAGGCCAAAATTTGTAGGGAAGGCCAGCAGGTTGGCATCCTAGGGGGAGTTGATGCTGTAGACTTGAGCAGAGTTTCTCTGCGAAACCTCAGTCTTTGCTCTTTAAACCTTCAACTGATCGGTTGAGGCCCACCCACATCATTGAGGATTAGTAATTTCTTTGACTTAAAGTACATTGATTGTACATGTTAGCAACAGCTACAAAACACCTTGATAGGAATACCCAGACTAGTGTTAGATGGAATAACTGGGGACCTTAGGCTAACCAAGGAGACACATAAACCTCACATTGGTCTAATCAGTAGGGAAGGTGAGGGAGAATTTAGACCTAGAGCAGGGAGTGTAGGGCCTGGGGGTGCTGGGGGCTCCAGTGGTTGTAGACAGGACCCTCCTCTCTTGCTCTTTCTTCCTTTGATTCTCATGATTCCTGTCCAGGCTGACAGAGGGCATCAAAAGGCCCTCTCCCCTGTTAGGGAATTCTGGATTGGAGGAGGCAGGGTGTGCTCTGCAGAGGATGCCTTCTGAGGGGCACTGTGGCCAGAGCTGGCTTTGCAGAAGCCTTGACAGGCCTGGGTCTAACCTTGCTTCAGCCCCTGAGTGATTCTGGGGTCCTGTGCCAGTCCCTGCTTCTAGCCAGAAATGATGCAGAGTGGACCTACCAGGTCCCCAGTGGGGCCAAATCAGGTGACCTGAGAGCAAGGGCAGTTCTTACAGGCAAAGCTTCTGTGGCTTATCTCTTCTCTTAAGTTGCTTACAGAGTAGCAGGGGAGAAGGCCTCGAACCCAGCCAACAAGATACAACAGGAACAGAAGGTGCTCGTCCAAGGCCTGAGCCCAGCCAGGGAGTGTGGCTCCACCTCCACGTTCAGATATATCTTCCTTGAGTTTCTACCTCTCAAAGTGCTGATTTTCCAAGTGCCTCCTCTGGGCCCTGCTCCCTGTGCATTCTTGGCCACAGCTTACAAGTGAAGAACTGGTTGTGATGTCAGGAGCTCCCCCTAGCATCAAGGAGGACATAGAAATGTCTGTGGCCGAGGAGCTGGATCCTGGAAGCCAAGGGCCTAGCCAAGAGCACCTGGTGAAGGCAGGTGAGGATCTCCTGAAATGTCCCTTCCCTTGGGTGTCTGCACCTGTGCATGTGTGTTGGAAAATGTGAGTGTGTGGTTGGGCAGACACTCACATGAATGTATGTGTTTGCATGTATATGTGGGTATGTATGCGTGTCTGTCTTGGTGTGCATGCACATATATTTGTGGCTTGAGTGGCAGATGAGCTGGAGGGAAAGGGACTGATGAAGTGAGAATTTGCAGCCTGTTTCCCCTCCCCTACAATCCAAGCCCCCACTGTGTCTATTGCAAAACATTTAGAGAGCTCAATTTATAAAATCAATCCAATCAATTATCTCTCCTAACCCTCCAATGTCTTCTCCTGCCCTTTAGAGTAAAATCCAAACACCTTACCATGGTCTATAAGATCTAGTCAAGGTCAGCTCCTCAATATATTTCATGCTGTGGCATGGTGACCCACACCACACTGCATTTATACCTGTACTTATAACATCCCAATACTAGGTCTTCCTCACATGTGTTCCCTCTGCCTAGAATACTCTTTCTTTAGATTTTCCATGGCGGGGCTCTTTTTTCTTTCAGGTCTCTGTCTCAATGCTTTTTTTTCCTTCTGACTTTTCTAGGAACAGCCTCTCCATCCTGTCTTGTTGCCCTGTTTTGATTGTCTTGGGAGTATGCATCTCTCAGTCTGAATCTACACTGATGGATTATTTTCTGCCCCCCATCCTTCTACCTATACACACCATCAGTTCCTTGATTGCTACAATCTTGTCTCTTGGCCATTGTTCTCTCTTCAGTAACCTAGCCCTGAGCTTGGTCCTCAATAAACACTTGATAAATTTTGAATAGATGAACAACTTGAGACCTGGGATTGGCCAGTAGACATCAGTGAATGGGTGTTGAGTGATTCCTAAGAAGTTGGGGGACCCCATCCTTTTTCTGGTGTGACCTGTACCCATGAAGTCTTGGTACAGCCTCTGTGGGTGTTCCTGGGGACTCTGTTCTTCTCCCTAGAAATGATGGAACATGGATCCCGCTACTTTGGTGCTTTCCAGCGGCAACAGAAGTTGGATCCAAAGGCTGTTGGCTCTGCTGCAGGCCAGCCAGTTTGGAATATGATGGCTAGCTGGTCCAAGATAGTGGTACTGTATGGGGTCTTTGGCACTTGGTGGCTGGGTTTGGCTTGGGAGTACTGGCTGTAGGGGCTCTAGTCTGAACATGGCAGACCAAACAGGGCAAGATGTTCACTTGGGGGAAGGAAGAAGCTCCTGTGTAGTAGGCAGGCAATAAGTGTAGCAAAGTTTGGCAAGAGGTTAGTGCCATCCTTTGTTGGGTTGGGAGTTAAACCTCAGGGTCCAGAATGCCTGAAGCACATATTGCTTAGGGAGTACATATACACTTTACTCTGCAAAACTCTAGTGTGCATAAAATGACATTTTTCTTTATTAAAAAAATGTACCTATGTTTATGTCTATGTATAGCTATATATCTATATTTTCTCTGCATGTCTATATTTTATATCTATTGGTATATATGAATATATATTTCTACATAGAACTATATAAAATACAAGCATAAATATGTATAAGTATATATAAATTTAGAAATAGATATACATAATCTATATCTATATCTGTATCTCAGGACTGGGACAAAAGTAAGGCAAGTGAGGTTCCTATGCACTGTGGCTATTAGGAAATCCGGTCAGCTGCATCTGATCATTTTGTAGCTGATCCTTTAAGCTATACTCAATATAAGTGATGGAATGTTCTAGGAAAAAATTGCAAAGATACTGGGAAAAGGCAGCCATTTTAGAGAGGAGGGAGACTTAACTGTTCTAGGGAATCATGTGAGTCCTTGAGTTCTGTCATTATGTAGCCAATCTTTTAAGCTACATTCACTTTGGGTTAGGGAATGTTTTAGAAACATGGTTGCTATACTGTTGGAAAAATTATTGGGAAAAGGCAACCAGGTTGGAGAGAAGAGAGACTTGACTGTTGGAGGGAATCACGTGAGTTTCATTTCCTGTAGCCAGTCGTTTAAGGTACTTTCACTGTGGGTGAGGGAACGTTTTAGAAATATGGTTGTTATACTGTTGCAAAGCTTACTGGGGAAAAGCAACCTGGTTGGAGAAAGAGGGAGACCTGATATTATAGGAAACCACCTGAGTCCTATTGTTCTGCACTGAATCCTTTTACCTACATTCACTGTGTGAAGGAATGTTCTAGAGAAAATGGTGGCCACATTGTTGCATAAGATACTAGAGGAGGCAGCCATTTTGGGGAGGAGGGAGAACTGGCTGTTCTAGGGAGTCACTTGAGTCTGATAGTTCCATGGCCGAGTCTGTTAGCTACATTCGTGGATGAAGGCACGCTTTAGAAACATTGGCTATACTGTTGCAAAAGTTGCTGGGAAATTCAACTCAGTTGGAAAGGAAGGAGACCTAACTATTCTAGGGAATGGGTTACAATAAATGCTGAAATGACTCTAGCCCCAATGAATATAGACAAAAAGAACTCCCAGGTCAGAAACCTCCTGGGAATGAAAATAAGCCAGAAATATTGAATTAGCTTCATGTGTTCAAAGGCTGAAGCCAAGTCAAGTTGCTCCAGCAAGTCGGGCTCCAGCTAGCCACCCATGCCCTGAGACTGAGGTGGCAGGTGCTGGGGGCACTTAATTAATCTCTCTTTATTTATTAAATCTAGCTCTTAGGACCACAGGAGTACACTTTTAAAAAATAAAATCATTATATTGAATTTAGAAATTAAACTTAGACATTTAGAATTAAGACATTTAATTTATCAATTCTATTTATCCATTGTTTATTTTTGAGTAAAAAAGGTAACAGAGCTGTTATTGCCTCTGAGAAAACCACAACATGAAAGGAAAAAATATTCATAATATTGTTCTGCTGATTTGAGGGTAAAAAAGTAGTGTGGCTTAAAAAGTAAATGAAAATAAAAACAACATTTTATGAAATAATTACGAGAAAAAAGTTGGGAGTTGTTGCCTTTCATTGATTTTCCTAATCTCCATGTGTATTTAAAAAGTTTATCTTTTATTATGTGTATAATTCTAAGCAGTTTCTAAAATGAAGAACAAAAGAGCAACAAGACAATTTTCTTTGGACTGTTAGACCTGTCTTATGATGGGTGATCACAAACTGTCATCAAATTGCAGATGTTGCTAAATTAATTCTTCTTACATTGATGAGTTAAAAACAAAATATGTTATCTCAAATAAACAAACAAACAAACCCCAGCCACCAGCCACCAGTCACTCATCTTTATTTCGCCTTCAACTCTCTCAAAAAGCTTTTTGTCTTTCTGACCCCAGTCATAGGAAAATCAAGAGGATAGTGTGGAAATTGTTCTAGGAGAAACTCTCCACCAAATTCCCCTTTTATAGTCTGGGAGTCTTCTTGACACCCATTGTCCTTTTAATGTTATTTTTGCAGTATCTTGAGGAAGAAGGAAGAGGAGGGGGAGAGGAGGGGGGTGGGAGGGGGACAGGGGTAGCAGGAGGAGGAGGAGGAATGGAAGGAGAAGAGAAAGAAGAAGACAAGGAGGAGGGGGAAGAATACAAGAAAATAGTATGATTGTGAAGTACTACTGTTCCCTAAAACAGAAAGAAAGAAAGAAAGAAAAAAGGACAATCACACTAGTATCTGTGTGCACTTTTGGGGCAAAAAAAAATCCCTATTACAACAAATGGAGCATGGTGGCAATGTTCCTATGAAAACCCTTTAGACAGAAATTGTTCCACCTTGCAGTTCAATGTTGTCTTAAGGACAGAGGAAGGCTACGGGTCTTTCTCAGGTGACAGGTGAGCCTTGGTTGTCTTTTTTTTTTTAAAGAATGGGGTAAATGGAAGAAGCAGCCCAGAACTCTGAGTCTCAGGCCTGCCAGATGGCCGGTTCTACTTCAGCTGTCCTTCTGGGCATCCTTAAACATAGGAATTAAGAGTCTTCTCCTTTGCGTTGCTACCACCTCCGCTTTCCCGCTCATTTAGCTCAGGTTTAGGTTTGAGGGCAGTGCCTGGCTATGAGCCAGGTGGGATGAGAGGGCACGATGACTGTTCTATGTCCAGACCTTCAGTTAATGTCCCTGTTTTCCACACCAGTCCTCAAGACCACCCCAGTGGCCCCATGGACTCTGGGGCTGAGTCTTGTCTGAGTGCTGCTGGGAAGAGGGCTCCCTCCTCAGCTGCTCCCTGTCTGCTCCGCACCTGTTTCTGAGCTACCATATCTTTCAAAATGTGGTGACAGGAATCCGCCTTTCAAAGGGTCTTAATGAGATGTAATGACTTGTTGTTGCTAAGGGCATGGAGGAGGGCAGGGTCTCAGCACGTGGTAAACTCGTGTTAAAGGAGCAGCTTGTGAAATAGCTCATCTTGTGATGTGAACCTAGGCAGCTTTAGCATGTTCTGCTCCCCTGGCCCATACTGGCTCTCCAAGACACCCCTGATCCCAAAGCTCCGGGCCAAGGACCCCTGCTCTAGGGAGCCACTAGAAGATAGATAAAAATTAAGGCAGTGGGGATGATTGGGCTCTCCTGGAAAAGGAGGCTCTGGTTTTCCAGTAGCAAGCATTCTATCCTGAGCTCAGACTCTTACTGTGTGTCCTTCAGAAGTGTGGTCACCTGACTAGGCCTTGATTTCCTTGGTTCTGCAATGGAGGTTTTCCTTTCTCCTTCAATGGTGGCTCAGACTCAGCTGATGTCTGCATGTGACAGTGTTGGCAGAGGACAGGGACCCTGGTTGGCCAGAAGCTACTGAGGAGCATGGTGCACGTGGGGTGGTGGCTGGCAGCTCATGGATGGGCTTCCCAGGCTCTTCTGGTGCCCTGAGGCCACCAGCTTCTGATTCCAGAATATCAGGCACCAAGTGACTCCCGATGGGGTGCACTGTTGGTCCTAGACAAAGTGTGGGCCAGCCACTCAACTGTGCCCAAGGAGCCTACTTTGACGGACTGTTTCCTTCTTTAGGGGCCCCAGCTGCCAACAACCAGAATGCTGAGAGAATACGGCCATGGCAATGCCCATGCCCAGGAGTATCCTGGCAGCTTCCAAAGCATGAGGTTCCAACATGAGCGGTAAGAACAATCCCAGGGACCCTGTGGGAGAGAAGCTGGAGCTCTTCAGGCAGAGACCAGGGCTATAACTAGACTGGCCAGGAAGAAGCAGTCAGCAGCTGGCTTAGTGGCCTCCTCGCCCCAGCCCCTGAGCCTTCTGGCCCCTCACCCATTTGGGGCCTCCTAGCATTCTGCAGCTGGGCCAGCTCCCAGCCCTCAGGGTCCGGGACCTGCTTACCAGGGAAAGGAAGGACTCTAGGCTGCCATTCACTGTCCAGAGAAGCCCCCGACCTTTCCTGCTTGCCTTCAGGGCCCCACTGTGCTCCCTGGCAGGCCCAACCTGGGACCACCAGGAACTCTGACTCTCTCTTTTCTTACTTCCCAGCAACCCAGAGGCAGATATGATTGCTGAGATTGGCCTGGAAGAGCTCACTGGGCTGGAGATGGAAGTCATGAGAAGACAGGTGAGTGTCTGATGTGCCAGGGATACACTTGGAGGGTGGAGGCACAATTGTGGGGCCTTGGGTTGCATGGGCATCGACAGTGATGAGGCCATCCACCTTGAGGATGCACAGGCTTTCTAGTCCTCTTTCCTTCTAGTGGCAGAGGCGAGGTCAGGCTCGCCTCCCCTTCCTCCCAGTCCTCTTGGCTCCTCTGTCCCATCAATGCTGCCTCTCTCCCTGAGATAAGGGGAGTAGGGGAAGAGAAAAGGCAGAGGAGGAGGGAACAGAAGATGATAGGAGAAGTCTATGCAGAGAGAGCAGAGTGGTGAGAAGAGACTGGATGGAGCCAGGGGTCACCTTCTTTCAGACCAAGTGCATGTTTTCTCAGGAAGAGACCCCAGCAGGCATGGACATGGAGGAGCATCTCTCCTCATGGCCCTTTCTGGTCCCTGAGTGTCACCCTACACTGGGGTCATCACTCTGGTGCTGCTGCTACCCCCATGGCAGCCCACCCCAGGACTGAAGTGCCCTTCTCTGGGTCCTGCTGGGCCTGGGAACACAGGCATCCCAGCGCTCAGGTCCCACCAGTCCTGCCCCAAGCCCCTGGTCTCCACTGTTGCTCTGTTTGCTTCTCACCTAGGGACACTGTGGCCCCCCAAAGGACAGCAAAGCCCCTCCCCGTTCTAACGTCATACTTTCCCCCCACTGATGTGCCATTGGCTTCCCTAGAAGAGCCTTGCCCACCAACCAACTCTCATCTCTTTGCAGCTGCAGGTGATCACTGAGCGTCTGCACGCCCTGGAGGACCAGGATGCCACCTGGCGCCACAGGGAAGCCCTGTTCTTCACCATGCTGGTGTCTGTCTGCGTCGCCAACCTGTGGCTGTGGATGCGCCAGTGATGCTTAAGGCCGCCCTACTGTGCAGCTGGAGCCCTCCACTCCTCCCCTTCTTCCCTTCGCTCCCTCAGCCGCCCCTGCCCATCCTCCTTCCAACTCTCAGCAGCCTTTGGCAGCATCAGAGCCATTTTCCAACTCTGCCTGAGTGAGGCCCTGGAGGCTAGGAGGTGTGAGGGAAGTATGGCATTCCAAAGGTCTGGATGGGCTGAGATGCAGCCCCTCTGGAGGGTGAGGAGGGTGGCATCCAGTCCACACAATAACACCAGTGGTAGGTGCTTCCTGCTTGCCTGTCAGGGTTCCACGGTGACCATCTTGGAGCTAGACTTGGCCTCTGGGCCCTCAGTGTCCCTTCTGTTCCATCCTCTGTTGCAGTGGCTTGGCTGCATTTTCCCCATTTTTCTTCAATATTGTGCACAGGGCTCTGCACAGATAATGCTGTCAATAAAAGTTATGTGATAACAGCAAACCCTGGTGGCTGAGCTTCTTGCATCCAGAACTCATGGGGAACAGTCCCTCTGGATAAAGATCCTGGCTCTCTCCCTGCCTCTGCCCCTTCCTCCTCACCATCCCCAGCCCAGGCAAAGGCCCTCCTTAGGGGCAGGATTTGGCCGGGTCCTCCCTGTTGGGCTCCTGTCAGCCAGCGAGGACTCCTGGGGAAGTGGTTCTGCAGCAGCTTGTCCAGGTCAGGCACTGCAAGGACTCAATCAAAGGAAATCTCCTCTTAGACAAGACCAGAAACTTTCCCACTTTCCCAAGAGGAAATTGAGTCACGGAGAGGGGGATCATGGCCCTGGGGTCATCCAGCAAGACTGACAGGGCTGGTTTGGGATGGGTCCTCCTGAGTCCCAGCTGAGGGCTCGGCCTGCCTCCTATAGCCTAGCTAGGGGACAAGTCCCTGACTCAGCTCTGGAGGCTGGATGGGAGGCCACACAGAGGGGTTTTGGACTCTTCTCCTCTGAGTCTACAGCCCTGTTATGTTCACCTCATATAGGGCAGATTGCTGGGTCGGGCAGTGGGACTTGGCCTGAGAGGACAGAAGTGTCACTGCTTGAGGCCTGGCCTCAGGGCAGAGGTGCTGGGCTGCAGGAGGCATTCAGAAGGGCAGCTGCCTTTTCCCTGGGACCCAGGGAGAGACACACATCTCTCAGGGGTGGGGGCTGGAGCAGGGGCCAGGTCATTACACCATCGTTGGCTTTAGTGGTGAACTGGTCCTTACCCAATCCCCCAAGTCTGCCAAGTCTTCTCCATCTATAAAGGTGAGGGAGTATGTTAGTCATTAGATATAAAATAACATGACTCTGAGTATGTGTGTGTGTGTGAGTGAGAGAGAGAGAGAGAGAGCACACACGCAAGGCTGCGCGCGCACGCAGGGGGGATGGGGGATGGGGGAGGGAGAAAGACTTGACTCCTAGAGCCTGCTCTGCCCCTGCCCCGCCCACTTATGGCCCTCATTGGGCCCCATCAAATGGGAAGAGTCTTCCTCTGCTGACAGTCTGGGGCCTGAAACACTTCTGAGAGCATGGTGTGGGGCCCCTGTCATCCCTGTGCAGTCCCACACACATGGCTGCTGGAGCTTGGGCTCTGCTGAGAGCAGAGACAAGGACATGTGGTGAAGAAACAGTTGGAAGATTCCCTCTCTGGCCAGAGCAGAGAGAGAATGGGGGCCAGAGGAAGGCCCCCTGCAGAGTGGGGAGGGAGCAGTGCCCAGAGCCAAGTGCTTCTAGTCAGGAGGGCCAAGAAGCCCAGGGAGAACCTGGAGCCTCCCTGAATGCTCCAAGTGGGCTCTGGAGGCCCGGAGCCACCCGAGGGCTAGGGGGAAGCCTGAGCCACCTCTGCAGACCACCCCTCTACTCCCATGCCCTTGAGTGCCTCTCCTGAGGCTGCTTTTTGCCCTTTCTTTTGCTCCAACTGGCCACACAGGAAAGCTCTGAGGAAGGGAAGGCTGCTCCAGGGCGGGGCGAGGCCGGGCCTCTGGGACTTGGCTGTGCCTGTGCATGAGCCGATGCAGACATGTTTGCAGCAAAAGATTGGTTGAAAATATGTTGTGAAACAAAGGTTCACCCTGGAGAGCAATTTAGCTGAGATGCAAACAAACAAGGCAGGGGCCCTTGGAGAAATGCCTCCTGGGCTAGGTGAGCAAAGGTGGAAGGTGGAGCCCTGGCCTTGGCCCTGGCCAATGACCCTCTACCCGGGCCTGCAGTGTGTCCGCTGGGCTGCTCCCAGACCTACCTGTCTGCCTTATCTCCAGAGGTCTCCTGCAAGGAACTGAAGCCCGAGCTGCTCTATGCTGGCCTCCAAGGCAGCGAGGGCACCAGGAGGCGGGGGGAGGGGGGTGGCTGTTGTAGGGTCAGTGCCTTGTGCCAGGCCCCTGGAACATCTGTCCCTTTGATGCTCTTTCCCTGCCAAGCTGCCTTGGCCTTGCCTAAGTGCTCAAGCATGAGCACAGCCTTTCTCCCAACAAGCCTTCACCTTCCCCATGAACAAGTTGGGGAGGGGAGGGACTCCTTCATAGCTGGGGGGAGGGAGGGGG